CCTTTAACTAGAACACAATCAACTAGGTCTGGCAGACGTGTTCACTTCCCAGAAAGATTCACTCCAGATTAGTGTTCCCCAGTATTTGTGTTCTGCATTTTAGTATTTAGGTGTGCTATTTTCTATCTACAAAATCAACTTTTTTTTTGTTCCTATTTGTTTAAGCTACGATTTTAGAATAATCTTGTAAAATTTAAATTTCCTGCTGAAATTCAAAGGGGGGGAGTGATGTAGTGGCAACTCTACATAATCATATGAAAACACTGTAGGTCATATTACTGTCAACTGTCTTATATTATTTCTGTCAGTTGTACTTGTCATGTCAGTCCGGTCAGATGTCAGTGTCTTAGAACTTCCCGCGTAGGTTGTCGACACTCATCACGAGTTTGCTCAAATTATCAGTAGAAAATGATATTATTTTTGTTTGTCTTGTTTTAAATGTATATCCAGTTCAGATGAATTTGCCGCTAAATGAAGTGAACATCAGTTGAAGTGCTAGTTTTTATTATAACAATACGAGTAGGATTGTGTGAGTTTATACCAACACAAACCCTACAATATTAACTGTATTTTCACACGCCTAGCACTACTTACGCATTCTTTGATGTTTACATTGTCAACTGCTCAATCTCTATACCACATAAATCAAGAACTGGGTTCTTCTAGAAGTAAGATTCAAGCAATATGACATGTATTCACTCAACAAAACCTACAAGTACTTCGTACTTTCGGTTTGCAGATAGTTTAGTCGCGAACTAGAAATCTTAATATGTTATCTATTGAATATTGTATAATTGTGTCAATAAACTATTTATTATTATTATTATTATAGTATTCAATACATGTATTCGATAAAAATTCCACATGCAGCTGTCACCTATTCAACTATAGATGGGGAATATTGTCACGATCTCTGGCTTCCTGATGGGATTAGACCACTGGACACTAATAGTTGAGGTGTATGAGAAATAGTAAAAACCACAACAAAAACAGAGATACATTTATTAGATTATCATCGTATAGAAGAGGAAAATAGTCAAATAGTCCTTACAATATAGATAGAGCCATTTTCGGAGAGGGTTGTCGGGTAGAACGCACAAAGACTTAACTAAACTGATTAACGTGCTAACCGACTGTACAAATCGACAGTTCGCACCACCGACAGCAACTATTCCAATACCGATCATCAACTGCCCTCTGGAATATCCACAAATCTATATTCATCTGAAATCTCAAGTACTGTTATTGTTTAGGTAATCTCCGGTTGGTACGTTGCTGTTGGAGGTTACTCAGTCGTTTAGGTTGTTGATGAGTCAATGCCAAAACGTGTTCCAAATAATAATAATAATAATAATAACGTTTATTCAGGATTGTACATAGGAAATTGCCTTTCTTATATATTTATACAGGGTGAGTCAAAAATGTGTAACGAGCTTTCTGGGGGTGATAGAACATTGAAAAATAAGTGTAGTTTGATGATTAAACTCATGGCCCAAAATGCATATTAAGGGAGATATATCCTTCCAAAGTTGATGAAATTAAAATAATTTCTCCGCATAACTTCTGAACGATGAAAGCCACCCGATTGAAATTTTGTGCATGACTGTATGTTGTCAAAATACATTTTTTTGTCACACTTCCACATTTCTGATATTGTTATAAAGGGTGTTTTCAGAGGGTGAGTCATGATTTTATGTAGGAAACTTTTTTCCCTGTATTATTTTCGGTGAAAAAACAGGAGAATTTGATGGGGCGAAGAAAATTACATAGAAAAGGTACTCTTATTCAAATACAAAAAATTGAGCCGTTCGTGAGATATTTGAGCTTTTGTAGTTACATGATATCAGCAGATTGATTTTATTCATCGCGAGATTCATCGGTATAACGATATTTCAGCAGGCCATGAACAATTTTGTTTTTAATTTTGTCGATAATATCACCTCCCTGTGCCACGTTACTGAGCAATAAGTACATAGCATAAGTCTGTCCCAACAAGGTTTGAATAAAAATAAAAGTTTGATAATGTTTTTGGTACTTTTAATTAATACATAATTTTGAATGGAATAAAAAGGAGAAAAACAAATTAAAGTAGCTGTTCGAAATGTCCACCGTTTTCGGTTATACATAATCTGAGGCGTTTACGTAAATTATTCATCAAACCGTTCATAGTTTGGTGATCATTTTTCAACAACGTAAATTCGTTCACAATTTTTTGCCTCAGCTCCTCAACATTCCGAATTTCCGATTTCATGTAGCTCCAGATCGAAAAATCTAGTGGATTGAGGTCAGGCGAACGAGCGGGCCAGGAAATAGGAGCGTCTATGCCTCGTCCTATCCACCTATCAGGAAAATTATCATTAGGCCATTCACGTACAACTTACATAATGAGGTGGTGCTCCATCATGCATAAAGCAGATTTCCCTACGTATGTTGAGAGGAATGTCTTATAATATCGTACCTAACTCATTTTCTAAGAAGTTGAGGTACATTGCACCATTCAGAGACCCTGGGAACATGTAGTATCCAACGAATTTGTCTCCTAAAGTCGCAGCCCAGACGTTCACTTTGAAATTTTATTGAAAATGCGTTACTTTAACAACGTGTGGATTTTCGTCAGCCCAGAAATGAGTGTTGCGCGAATTGAAAACACCGTTTCTAGTAACAGTTGCTTCGTCTGTGAACAATATTTTGTTTAAAAACTCAGGACATCTTCGAGTTCGTTCCAGCAACTCTTCGCAAAATCTCAATCTTATTTCATTGTCTCGTGGTAACAGTTCTTGTACCTGCAAATAATGATAAGGGTGTAGCTGTTGCTCTCTGAGAATCCTGGTTACATTTGCTTGTGTTGTGTCTATTCGTCTTGCTAATTTCCTTGTACTCATTTCCGGATCCTGTTCCACAGTATTCAATACTTCTTCTTCAACTTCTACAGTTCTCGCACTTCTGGGTCGGCCACCATTTCTATTATTGGTTTTCAAACATCCTGTTTCACGCAGTCTTTGTACAATCCTCAAAATTGTTCTCCAATTTGGAACGCGTCGAGCGGGAAACATCTCTGCATATCGTCTCACAGCAGCATTTGCATTTCCGAAGCACTCGCCAAGCATTAAAAGCATATCAGTTTGTTCAAAGAACGAATAACCTGCCATATTTCTTGAAATCTCAGTTGATAATCGCAGTGATAAATGACACAGAAGAACCACACGAACAAATCAACTACAACAATGTTGACTCGAATGTTGATGACATGAACGTTAAAATTGAGAACAAAATTATTCATCATGGCCTGCTAAAATATTGTTACCGATGAATCTCGCGATGAATAAAATCAATCTGTTGATATCATGTAACTACAAAAACTCAAATATCTCACGAACGGCTCAATTTTTTGTATTTAAATAAGAGTACCTTTTTCATGTAATTTTCTTCGCTCCATCAAATGCTCCTGTTTTCTCACCGAAAATAATACAGGAAAAAAAGTTTTCTACAAAAAATCATGACTCACCCTCTGAAAACACACTTTATAAAAATATCAGAAATGTGGAAGTGTGACGAAAAAATTTATTTTGACAACATACATTCATGCACAAAATTTCAATCGGGTGGCTTTCATCGTTCAGAAGTTATGCGGAGAAATTATTTTAATTTTATCAACTTTGGAAGGATATATCTCCCTTAATATGCATTTTGGGCCATGAGTTTAATCATCAAACTACACTTATTTTTCAATGTTCTATCACCCCCAGAAAGCTCGGTACACATTTTTGACTCACCCTGTATATGTATAGAAGCCCGAACAAACATTGAAGAAAACCACAAAAGCCGGAGCTGCGCGTAAACTTCCGGTGCGATGGAAGAAGCACGATTTGGAAATTATGAAAATATCGAATTAATGATTTCGATCTTAATTCCAGCATAATTACTCAATTGTGGCGATATTCCGTTGATTTTTCATGAAACTAATTGAAGTGTCTTACCATACGTACTCTCGATTCGATGAAGAAAAAAAATATATGACATTTATAGATATTCACGAGGATAACCAGAATGGAAAAAGCTTGAAAACTCACAACAGTAGGCTTCAATGTGAACCCCATGCAGGACCCAAGTTTCATTGGGAATTTTACCATGCTTCATCAACACTTGAGCATTGGGGGATTTTGGCCACCAACATTTTGTTTTACCCTTGGTCACCAAAGAAGGGATGATTTGTATTTCGTGCAAGATAATTTATTCGATATTCATAGCAGAGCGCTTTCGATTGTTTCGAAAAAAGAAATCCGAAATTTGTTTTTGTAAAAATTTGTTTTTGAAATTTTTTTAAATTTTTTTTTGGAAATTTGTTCAATATTGAGAAAAGGTGGAAAAACAAATTGGTGACTTGTTACTTGTTGATGAACTCTTGATTTTGAAAAAGACATAATAAAATCGGGATTTGAAATAGTTAAATATGAATTTGAAAATTGATAAAAGTGAGGTTACTTACTCGTCAGGTTAACAGGGAAATTTGTCCATAAAAATATCTTTGGTCCAGTTTAAAACTAACGACATTATGGTAAAATACGGTACAAACAAATTAAAATGTGTTTCCCAATAGGAGGTAAAATACGGATTACATTTTGTTAAGCAGCCATTGTCGCTGCGACATGTCGTGTTGAAGTGAGCTTGATGAGTGACGGAGTCCGTGGTGGAGAACTATCGATAGCACTATCGACAACTATCGATAGTATTAACTATCGAGACGCTATCGATAGTACTTTGTCACTATCGATAGTTTTCGATAGTTGCGCCCATGCCTTGCAGCCTTTGGCCTTTGACCTTTGACAATTGACATTCGATTATTTGCTGTTTCATTTTTTATTGAATAATAAAATTTATTCCGTTCATCTATTGTTATTGTCATTGTCAGGTTATTGTTGGCTAATGGCTGTTGTTTGTTGTAAAATGTTTAAGTAAGCTTGTGGAGAAAAAGTTAATTTTGAATTATAATATTATTCGACATGAAAAAGTTTATCACAATCAATCGGAGTCAATTAGAGCCTAGTCCTAGTACTAGTGTAGTGGTACTACCAGAGAAGAACGAGGTAAGAGAAAGAGGTGAGTTTGTATTGAAAAAATATAGAATTATAATTAAATTAGGTTAGGTACCTACCTACCTTAGGTGTGTTGAGAATTAATAAAGGATTATGTATATTTTTTTTAGATGCTAATATTGAAGATGAAGCTAGGTATGAGAATGAGGAAAGAGCGGACAATTTGGTAGAGGATACAGATGTTGAAGAAGAAATTGATAATAGAAGGAAAAGACCAAAGGTTTCAAAAGTGTGGAACTTTCACAAGAAATCTGGTGATAAGAAATTTGCCAAGTTCTTGAATTGCGGCAAGGAGTATAAGACGAGCGGTAATACAAGCAATCTCAGTGACCATCTCAAAAGATTCCACCCCAGGCTTTTGGGAAAGCCTCATGATTATGACAGAAATAATGTAGATGGAAGTGATACTGATAAAGAAAGTCTTACTGCCTCAAGTTCTGCAAGGTCCAGTAATCGGTCAATCAGTCCATTTTTCAAGCGCCTAAATGAATATGACACTGATTCTCCAAAAAAGAAGGAAATAGATAGGTCTTTAGCCTTCATGATAGCAAAAGATTTTCAACCTTATAATGTTGTGAATGATGAAGGATTCAAATCTTTTGTTCATCATTTAAACCCTAGGTATGTCATACCCAGCAAATACACTGTACGGGAGACAATAATGAAGAAAATATATACAGATGCCTGCAAAGTTTTAAAGGAAATATTACAAACTGTCGAGTTCATTGCCATTACTTCTGATTCATGGACATCTGTGACAAATGAATCCTATTTAACTGTGATGTTTGTCATTTTATAATAGAAGAATTCCAACTTAAGTCAGCTGTTTTGTCAACAAAACCCATAGAAAATGGAATATATCATACATCACAAAATTTGGCAGATGCATTGAGTCAAATATTTGATGACTGGGATATTGAAAAAAAATAGCATGTATAGTAACAGATAACGCAGCTAACATGATAAAGACATGTGAGATACTAAAAAAAAAACACCTTCCATGTTTTGCACACAGTATTAATTTGGTTGTGCAAGACAGCTTGTCGCTGGAACCTGTGAAAAAAATTTAAAATAGATGCAAAGAAATTGTTCGCTCCTTCAAAAGCAGTAATATTGTCAAGATATAATGATCATTCGTATTTTATTCAGTTATTTTAAATTCCAATTTTTAGTCTTTTCCCAGTAAATATATTTTTCATAGCTAATTTTACATTTCCGGAAGACAGTTCAGTCGATCGTAGTTGCCAGGAAATCAAGAATCCAATTTCAATCAGTATTATTTTGATTTGCAATCTTTTTACCAGGTCGCTGGCACCTATGATCGGGTAAATTATCGCTGACGGAGTATTTTTCGAAACAAGGAATATCGAGTTTGATGAAAAAGCCGGCATTACGATTAGGGATCGCGAGTAGTGCGATCACGCGTTTCATTCTTGAAGTAAGTTTAGTTTTTCGACACACCGCGCCCCTCGAGTTCCACCCCCATGGAGAAGCACGCTCTTTGGTGAGTACATGATTTCTATGTTATATTTATGTTTTATTTTTATATAACCTCATATAATATGTGTTCTGGTTATTTTGTCTCGTTGACGCTCGACATCTTTTGTTTTTGTATTTTTTACTCATTTTCGTAGTCCTTCAATTTACACCCCAATGTGAGCTTATGATTGAATAAAAATTCATGAATTTGTTAAGTTGAATCTAGCCCATTATTCTGCTGCCAAGCGAGTAACCCCTCACTGGTCATAGGTTTGAATGTCTCGGGAAGGATTATGGGTACTTACAATTCTACCCCTAGAGATTTAAACGTGACATATGGTGGAGGCGCCGAATTAATTTTGACGCTAATTCTCCGAAATTAGCTTTCTTTTTGTCACAGTTTGATTATTCTCATACTGCTGAGTAATGTTACATATTCTTTTTTCCTACTTGAAAATAATTTGACCGACAAGATAATGGGGGCTTTGGTTCATTTTCACGAGTATTCTCTCTGGAAAAATAAAAAAAAAAAATAGTTCTTTTCGAGGGTGCATATCAGAGGAAATGTTGAGGGCGCTTCAATTTTTTTTAACTGGATCAACTCCTTCTTCTTTATAACATAATCTGACTATCTAGTTTTCCATTTCACTTCCACATATCCATATGAGTATTTCTTGTTTTTCGGACGAATAATGAGTAAATATATACATTTTTCAAGTCTAATATGGAACAATCTCTTTATTTTTGTGATATGACTTGAATTTTATTTGTTTAACTAGTTTTTATTTGGGAAATACTCTAGTTTTCGATGTTGAATTAATGTAACTTGATTTTTTTTTAATTGGGATGAACACAACTTGATTTCGATATTATACTTCTTTTTCGAAAAGCTGATGTCGAGCGACAATGAAAAACGTATAACACGTTCTACCAAATTGCGATTGGAGTGTCTCCCCGCAGAAGTAAGTTCTTTTACACCACCCTTTCGTAGCACTGACCAATTTAATTTTAACGACCCCTTCGCTAGGTCGCCTTTAGTAAATCGATCTCCTGAACGGCAACAAAATGATCATTTTCTTTCTTAAAATCAGAGAAAAAGCACTAGCAGTTCGGAATGCAGCAATTGAAAATATCAAAAAGCGGCAGGGTAAGGACAAACAATATCATGATCAAAAGCACAGACACGGCGAATACAACATAGGAGATCAAGTAAAAATTTTTACACCTAGGAGAAAAGTCGGCAGGAGCACAAAACTTTTACTAAAATACTTTGGACCCTATGAAATTACTAGGAAAATTGGCGAGGTAGATTAGGAAATACGGAAAGGCCCATCAGCGAATGCAAAGAAAGAGGTGGTGCATGTGAGTCGCATTTTACCCTATAATGACCCGTGGACTTCCATTAAAATAAATAATTATAATGAATTTTTGATACGCATAATGTAGAAATATAAGTAATAATAGTTTTGGTATATCAACAGGTTCCTACCTCTCTACCTGATAGGCTTGTTCAGGAGTGAAAAATTGGAAATCACGGCAGGGGCGTTTTGGAGACCCCTCCCCTCTACAATCAGTTATGAGGCAACAATACCTCTTTTATATCAATCAAAATGGCACGAAAAAATTTTGAAAGAAAAAAGACAGTTTTCTGGAGAATGCACTAATGATCCAAATAATAGACCCGAATGTTTTTTGTTACATAATTTAGATTTATTAGAATCTTCTTTTGAAAAGGAATTTGAACTTTTAGAAGAAAGTTGGAGTACAAATTTTCTGAAAATATATGTTAATGAACCCAGTATAATAAGTAGAAGTAGAAGATCACTCGATTTCCTGGGTGAGGGTCTCTCTTGGTGCTGTGGGGTTGCTACCCTTCAAAAATTGGATAAATTAGTCACAAACGAAAATAATTTACAATTTCAAATTGACAAACTTACTGACGGACTATCGAAAAAACTGACAAAAATTTCAGATGATTCAAAAAAGTTTTCAGAATATGAAAAATCCATAGGTAAAGCTTTCAATGAAACAGAATTTAGAATTCATAATTCAGAGTCTTTTGTAGGAGACATAAAAAATAAAATTCTCAGTAGTGAACGGAATCAGGGAAGTATGATGATGGTTAAAATTTATAGAATCACAGACGATGAAGAGGAGGTTGATCAAGATGATTGATAATGTTTTGTTTGCATATCAATGAGAATCTGGATCGTTGATAATAGTCTGAAATAGTTGAAAAAGACCGATAGAAAAGTAAAAGGGTTGAGGGAAGAGCCGGAAACGTGGTATTTTGATGATCATTTAGGTTTCCAAAAAGAATTTACAAATTAGGTGTTCCTTGCGGTCTACTCCTAATGGATGCCATATAGTCAAAGGGCCCTGACTGCACCCATTAGAACTACACCAAAAGATGACAACTAAGTACTAAAGTACTAAGTTGGGTAGAAATACGCTAGTTCATAAATGTATCCTTTTGGTACTTATATGATGAAATCTGGCGAATTTCTACAGAATTGAGTTCAAAATACTGATAAAAAATAGAAAAAAAAAAATCTATATGAACGATTCATGTTGAGAATCGCCCGAGTTATTTGTCAATTGCAAATAACTCGTTATTTTCCTCATTAATTCAGATTAATGAGAAATTACTGAAATTAGGAAAATTGTCGAAATATGTAGTGAGAAAAGAAGAAATGTTCAAATGCTCATACTAGGTAGCAAAATAATAAATTTATAATTTTTGTTGTTGTTATATGCTGCCAGGTTACTGAATGTAATGATTATATCTGTTTTGAAAACATCGAACGAAGACCAAGTTGATTGTAGAGGATATTTTTTTAATTTTTTTCTGAGAACCTGTACTGATCTTCAATAGAATGAAATCATTGTAGTATTTTAAGCAAGGGTAGATAGGGTTAGTTGAAGAAATAAAAAGGGGTGTAATTGATCAATTACCACATAGAAATATTTATGTAAGTTGTTAATCACATCAAACAAGAGAAACTTCGATTGAAAAGTTACAAAATTTTTTCTTCTAAGAACTTACTTGGTGTATATTTCCTGTTACATGTTCAACAAGAGATGAGCCATCACAACGGATTCTGGGACACACACTCACGAAGGAGAGAGCCTAAGGAGATGAAGCCAATGCATCCTATGCTCCTATCTCCATGCCACGCCCAGAGGTCCCATACTGCGAATGGGAGATCTAAGAAGTGACCATGCAAGGACAACACAGAAAACCTCTGTTTGCTGAGACGGAAACCCACCCAGTCGTTTATACTTTGGGAAGTATAATCGTACGAATATGGCACCTGAGTGAAGTTCAATAACCTGGTTGATGAGTCTGCGAAGAAGACGGAAAAAGGGACGGTGGTACCTTCATACCTTACGAAAATCCTGTAGGGTGTCCCGCTGCTCACCAGGAGTCAGACCACCTTCACAACCTACGAGACACAAAGCGTCAAGTCGCAGCAATGTAGAAGTTACCAGCAGACCAAGTAATCGATATTGATCATGTGGGGATCATGTTCCTCAGCAAGGCACTTCACTGCAGTTCCCAGAACTCCCATCGATGATGAACCAAGAAGGCAGAGAGTATACTTTGGAGACGTCGGAGGCTTATTATATTATATTATATTATAATATTTCTTGTGACTGTTGTAAGTGGACAGGGCTGGACTTAGTATTTTGAGCCCCTTGACTTATCTTGTGAGTGGACAGGGCTGGACTTGATTTTTCAAGCCCCTTGACTTATGTTGTGATGGACTCAAATGAAAGACATTAGTTTTTTTTTATTATCATTTGTTTTTATTATTCATTGATAGACCTTGGTTTTCATTCATTGATTTTTTTTTCCTTTTTTTTTTTTTTCATCTGCTCTCAATTTTTAGGTAACCTCAAAGCTGAGGGGCCAGCTTTTCCATGGTGGGGGGAAATATGTCAAGATATAATGATCATTCGTATTTTATTCAGTTATTTTAAATTCCAATTTTTAGTCTTTTCCCAGTAAATATATTTTTCATAGCTAATTTTACATTTCCGGAAGACAGTTCAGTCGATCGTAGTTGCCAGGAAATCAAGAATCCAATTTCAATCAGTATTATTTTGATTTGCAATCTTTTTACCAGGTCGCTGGCACCTATGATCGGGTAAATTATCGCTGACGGAGTATTTTTCGAAACAAGGAATATCGAGTTTGATGAAAAAGCCGGCATTACGATTAGGGATCGCGAGTAGTGCGATCACGCGTTTCATTCTTGAAGTAAGTTTAGTTTTTCGACACACCGCGCCCCTCGAGTTCCACCCCCATGGAGAAGCACGCTCTTTGGTGAGTACATGATTTCTATGTTATATTTATGTTTTATTTTTATATAACCTCATATAATATGTGTTCTGGTTATTTTGTCTCGTTGACGCTCGACATCTTTTGTTTTTGTATTTTTTACTCATTTTCGTAGTCCTTCAATTTACACCCCAATGTGAGCTTATGATTGAATAAAAATTCATGAATTTGTTAAGTTGAATCTAGCCCATTATTCTGCTGCCAAGCGAGTAACCCCTCACTGGTCATAGGTTTGAATGTCTCGGGAAGGATTATGGGTACTTACAATTCTACCCCTAGAGATTTAAACGTGACAATATTGCCACAGAGATTTTTAAAAATGAACAAAATACCAAGAGTCCATTAAAACTTTTGCAAGAGGTGGAACAGTGCATATAAAATGATAGAGAGGATTTTGAAAACCAGCGATTTTGTTAACAAGTCCTTGTTGAAAATAAAAAAAGCTTCAGTGCCTTTGAGCATTGATGAATTAACTGTTCTTGGTGAAATTGGGAAACTTTTGAAACCATTTGATGAAGCAACTTTAAAGGTGTCAGGAGCTTATGTTACCATATCCATGATAATTCCTTTAACATTTGGAATATACAATTCTCTAATAGACTTAAAAACTAACATTGGAAGTGAAGAAGGAACAATCATGTGTGAGAAACTTATTAACTCTGTTCAATCCAGACTATTCCTGTATGAAAAGAGGACTGTGACCCAAATGGGTACATTGCTTGATCCAGCATTCAAACAAGAGGGCTTCCGAATCATAGATAACGCAAAAGCAGCTGGACAATTTATGGAGAATGAGATGCTCGTAATGCTGAATAAAGATGTCAAAGAGCCAGACAGTAAGGGAAGCATAAGCAATGATGAAGATGATTTAGATTCATCAGACAGAGCTTCATCTTTATTTTCGTTTATGACAGAAAGAACCAATCAGAAAATAAAATCTAAAAAAGTGGATGCCATAATAGTCAAAAGGCAATACTTCGAGAGACAAAATACAAACCAAAACAGTGATCCCCTACTATTTTGGAAAGTAAGTGAATTCAAACTGCTTATATATTATTTATTATAAGTAACACAGATTATTGTTTTAGATAAATGGAAACGAATTACATCCACTTCAGCATTGTGCAAAAAAATACTTGTGCATACCAGCATTATCAGTGGAATCAGAACGACAGGGCAGATTGTTACGGACAGACGGTCAAGACTGAAAGCCAAAAATGTTGATGTCTTAACTTTTATCAACAAAAATGGGTGGCTAGTTACAAAATAATATACTTTTTCTTAAAATAATATAGTTTGTTTTATTTTTTTCAAGATTTTCAATATTCATAATAACAGAGGTGAGGTTAAGTTAGATCTTGAATAAATTGTATTTGTATTGTTTAACTTGAAAATGTCGCTAGTGCTGTTGAGATTATATCCTCATTAGAGAAAAAATCCATTAAATCATTTTTTTTCGTCTAATGTCAAAATTATAATGAGACTGAATTTTCTTCAAACTATCGACAACTATCGATGGTTATCGATAGTTCGATCCTTTACTATCGACTACTATCGATAGTGCGGACTATCGATAGTTCTCCACCACCTCTCCGTCTGACGGACCTTGATTAAATTGTCATTGAACGTACTGAACTAATGGAGGCAAATTTGAAGTTGACATGCATGACATGACATCCAAGACATGACATGTGTCAAAGGAAAAGCAAGAATGTTTATTATGGAATATAAGTGAAGATAAACATTATGAATTCGGGAAGAAATAACCAAGACCCTAAGGAGCGAATGTTTCGTTGGTCTAATGAGAACCAAACTAACGTGTCACTCAATAGTCTGGTTTATCAAAATGCAACAATTCAACAAGTGAATACACCAGGTTATTCCAGTGGTAATCGAAAGTTGAACAAATTCAACTGTCTGACAACCTATTAACACAAAAAATCCTTGATCAGTCAATTTGTGGGAATCCCTGAATAAATCTTGTCTGAAGGTAAAAAAATTACAGCATTTTTTTCTCCATATTCAATAATTTATTCCACTGAGGTTGTTCTACAACAAAAGGGTAGAATGAGTAATCTAGTCAAGATGAACTCCTTTGCCTTCTGCCCATAAGAACCCTAAAATCATCATGAGTTCAAAAACATTCAATTAGCAGTTTGATTTCGCCAAAACCTGCAATTCCTTCCACAATTGAATAGTTAAAAATTTTCGATAGGAATCATTATTCGTAGTTAGGAAAAAACAGTAGTTTCATGAGTAACAAATAATAACATATCAAAGATAGCGAACTTGTTTTTATACAGGATGATTCGAATATCGATGTTAACATTTCAAGGACATTTTGTTGAGATCAAAATGAGACTTTTTCTCAATATAAACATGTGTCCTAAAATGCACCCCCTCCGAGATACAGCCACTGTAAGTTGGGTTAAAAAAAAATATATCTAATGCTGCCATTCTGCACACCAGTACAGACTCTGCAGGCTATGTATAATTCAATATTTATAGAATGTAAGGAAATCGGTATTCTGCCAGTGCGATTTAGATATTTTCTGTAAAATGGCATTACATAGTATGTAACACTCCTATAGACCCGATTTTCTCATTGTAATTGTTAAGTTACTCATGTAGGTAATAATATGGATGTTATAAAAAAATCTTCATATATGTTTGGATTCATCGTTCTAGAATCTAGAAGGAGCTGGAAGGTATAAGAAATGGAAATTTTCACACATTAGAATTGTATAACAATAAAAAATGGCAATTAGTCTATGATACAATTGATATAGATAATTACCATTCTGAAATATCCATTTTCTTTCGAATCTATCAAAACCAACCCTGAAATGTGAGGTTAATGAGTAGCTATGCAGTTAGCCATCTATCAATATTCAATAAGAGGACAGGCGCAAATTCCGACACGGGGTTGAGTGTTTGGCAGAATACCATTCTCTGTTAACAGAATCTGTAAGGATGTCGGTTACAGAGTCTGTATACTACATACCTTACATAAATATTTAAGTTACATAGGTGATCGGCAGAATAGCAGCATAAAATAGTGACTAAAATAAAGGATCAAATCTTCTGAAAATTGGCATACTCCTGTCTTTTACGTTATTCTCTTCTTGCTTGAAAAATTGAAGAGTCGGCACGAACAACGTTGTAACTTACATTTCATCAACTTTTCAGGAAGTACAAGAAACTGTGCATCCCTTATTTGCTTATTTTTACTTCGATATGGAAACACGTTGTGCGATCGTAACAGTTATAACCTTATAACGTTTGACGCGATACACCCATAGTTTAGGGTGCATAGCATGTTACACACATAATACGTAAAACAACGTTGTAACTGTGCTGTAAGTTACAACGATGTTCCATGTTCTTCCATAAGTTTTTCACTTTTCAATACGCAATCTGTGGTATTCAAAATAACAAACGTATTCTGTCGTTAATATATTTATTCTTGAGCTTGGGTAACGTGAAAAACAACTCACTGATAAAAAAACTAAACCTAATACAAAATAATCAATCGGGTGGTAATGAAAGTAGATCTCTTACGTTATATGCAATAGAATATTCTGATACTAAAATCAGCCTGAGAATAGGTATAGATGAAAAGGCAGAAATAATTTATTCTGATAACAAATTTTCGAAGAAGGGATGATAAACTGGATTCATATACTGACACATACCTGACAAATTAAACTCTTGTCATGAAGCTCGAAAACTTTGGTGTGCATGGAAGCTTGTTGGGACTTCTGACCTCATACCTGAAAGATCTTTGTCAGTTTGTGGTCGTCAATGGAGTTCAATCATCCATTGAACTAGTTTCTTCTGGGGTACCTCAAGGGTCACACTTGGGACCTCTGCTTTTTAATATATTCCTCAACGATATTGATGCATGTTTTCAACACACTAATATTCTATTGTACGCCGATGATATGAAAATCTTTAAGAAAATAAAAAATGCCAGTGACTACAATGATTTTCAAATCGATCCTGATAATTTCACGGACTACTGCAGAAAAAACAAACTCTTCTCGAACCTCGAAAATGTCAACAAATATTATTCACGAGAGCACGAGACCCTATCCTCAGAAATCTTTCGTTATCAGGACAAAATCTCAATGTCGTAAACAAAATCAAAGACCTTGGAATCATTTTAGACTATAAGCATCACTTCGATGTGCATATTGAAAATGCTATACAAAGAGCACAACGAAACTTGGGTTTCATTCTGAGGGCCACACAATCTTTTGAAAAATCAGAATCGATAATAATTTTATACAACTCGATAGTTAAATCAATTTTGGAATATGCCTCGACAATTTGGAACCCAATTAATGGTACTTATGTAGACAGGATCGAAAATATTCAACGGAAATTGATCAACAAACTAAACTACAAGTTCAATAGAAATCGGCACAACTTTTCGTATGAAAGCAATTTAAAATTTTATAAACTTCAACATTTACGTCAGAGAAGAGAGTTTTCCGATGTTTGTCTGATATACAAACTATACAATAACCTTATCGATTCCAGATACTGTCTTCACTATGTATCCATAAATTGTTCTCCTTATATCATTAGAAATAGAAGTCTCCTTTTGACTCCTGAAAGTAGAACAAATTACGTTCTGAATTCTCCTGTACACAGATGTGTTAAATCTTGTAACTCAGCTCTGAGTGATAATAGTAATAGTAATATTGATATATTCTCACAAAACCTTAGTCAATTCAAGAGATGTCTGAAAAAAATTATTTATTCATAAGTTCATGAAAAAACTTATATGTTCCTTATTGATTACACCTCTATTGTTTCAATATATACTATACTATGTCTTCTCGTCATTCCATGTACATATGATTTGAAATATTTTGAGAATCATTTTTGTTCCTTATATAGACATTTGATTATTTTTTCCACTTTTTTTCTTTTTTTAAGCCACGACAACTTGTAACTATTGTTTATTTTTGTAATCTGTGCTACTCTATTATTGGGTTTCTGACCTGTTGAGTGGCCTTAACTTGAATAAATAAATAAATAAATGAATAAATAAATAAATAAATAAATTAGCTTTTAAAGCAGCCGACATAGGTATTGGTCCCTCATATGCTACAGGTAAATTTTCTATACTCCTAAAAGTTGCAATGAGTGTTTCCTTGTACTCTGCAACATTTTCAATGATGAGGAAATGATTTCAGGGTCGAACGACGTTATGAGTCGCTCTTGTGAACAATGTATTTGGGTCCTCGGAACTAATTTCATTCCATAGCGATTCCGTGAGTTTCAATTTTGGATTTTTGAAATGAGTTTTTTCCAAATCTTTCAAGTCTCTGAAATCTTTCCTTTGCATGCACAAAACATAAAAAGGCTTGCGTTGACAATGAATGGCACGCACTTATTCAGATTGTACGAAAACTTTCGCGGTTTTTTTCTTCTTTTCTATTAAGGAAAAATCGCTATCACAGGGCAGGAAGCTGTATCCAGTTGATAGGAACTTTTGGTGCACCTCTCTGTGAAATTCTTCAGATCCACCAAAAGTTTCAACGTTGATATCATCCGCCAGTTGTTGTTATGGCCTACACATCTGTCTGACCATATAATCAGCTGTTTTTTTTTGGCCTGCTTGTGATGGTGGGAAATGTTCTTTCACGTACCTCAGTAAACATGATGAAATTTCTGTGGCTCCTCGTTTTGCTACTGTTTCGTTCCATAGCATCATATACGCAATCTCTTACTTAACAAAGAAAAAACTCATGTTATACTTTTCCAGACCTCACAGCAAAGAATTACAACTCCAACTAGTATAAGACTCCTCGAAACCAACATCAATATAGAAAGTAACACAAAATTCTTGGGTGTTTTTATAAATGAAAACTTGAAGTGGGATACACACATCAATCATCTCGGAGCAAAACTAAACCAAATTGCATACAGCATTCGTATACTTTATCAATACCTAAATGAAAAGTACCTAAAAATTATCTATCATGCAAACTTTGAATCCACTGCAAAATTTGTCATAATATTTTGGGGATCGAGTAGTCAAACTAAGGAAATATTCCAGATCCAGAAGAGAGGGTTATAAGATCATTATACAATATAAAATATGCTGAAACGTGCAGTGGTACCTTCAGATCAAATAAGATAATGACAATATTTGCTATATATATTTATGAATGTGTCATACATCTGTATAAAA